AATCCTGCGACAGAGAAATAGATCCGGCAAGATAGAGAGATCCGGTTTTTTTAGGAATTAAAAAATAATGACATTTTTTTGAAGATTTTGCTAAATAAATGGCATTTTTGGCAATTTTCTCATAGAATTATCTATTTTGGAGTTGATTTTGTATTTAAAAATGCAACACATCAGTTGTACGGTCTTGGGCTAGTGCTAAGCACTATCATAAAGTTTTCTCTACAGACAACACCCCAGATTCGGACATTTTCTCCAGACTCAAAACGGGTAATAATTTTAATGTTCCTTTTCTCTCCAAAGCGTTTCTTGTGGTTAAATAAACCTCTTTATGTCTTGTAAATGACATGGTGCTCATGGAGTCGCTTCTCCTTTACGGATCAGCAGCAATTTTTTCCCCGAGCCGCCAATCATCCAAATGCTCTACTCGTGTTCTCCACCGGACCAAGAGTTTGCTTTGGACATGATCGAAGCCAAGACCATGCTCATCATGATCCTTCAAAGGTTTCGACTTATCCTATCGGCCGAGTATAAGCACGCTGCACGCCGGTGAAGCATCTCACTGTGCAGCCTCAGTAATTCAAGGACTATATTCATTTAGAACTACATTAGAAATGAAATCGATCTTAAGAACAAAACATTCAATTTATAAAGAAAGAAATAAAGCAAACAAAGGCACCACATTACGTGTAGGAATGGTCCGACCGCATATTTTATCGCCTCTTTCCATGTTGATAAATGTAGAAGGATCTAGAAGATCCAAGATATTATCAATCAATATCCAGGCCATATAACCCTAGAAACCTCTTCTCGCATCGTATCAACGGTTGCCATCACGTTGTAGAGTACGGGAACGGCTTTGAAAGAAGAGAAAAACAAACAATGAAGTTAATGGAAAAAAATGAAGTTAAAACTTAAGACAAAAAAGTCTGAAGCTCACCTTAATTTGCTTGGTGTTATGGCACCAAAAGTAGGGTTTGCTTCTCCTACATCAGTAAGGTTGACGATCATCAAGACATCTTTGCTGTCAGAAGCCGGATAGCTAAAAGAAACTGCAGCAACAGGACCATGTAAGCCGAATACTCATGACAGAACCAGAATACACTTTTATCAAGCTTAGCAAGCATCTACTTAGAACTTACATGAGTATTCCTCAACCACANGACCATCTATAGTCTTGCATATTCCAAGCGTGAGAGCCTTGAGGGATTTACAATGCAAGCCATCGGACAGACCTAAATTCCATGATGAAGAACAAATAATCAACAAGGATACAATTGAGAGGAAACGTAGCATGCCAAAATCCTTAGGACAGGAAAGGAACCTTTCTCCATCCAGTCAATCAAACGGCATGATTCAGCATCCACATGTATTAGCTTCTTAATCGCCATATCTGCGATTTTGTTTCAAACCCATTAGAACCAAAAAAGGAAAGAGGCGATTAGGTCCAGAGACTTTCAGATTAGCGTATTACCTAAAGCAGGAACCAATTTATCGTTGAAATACTTCTCAGGAAAGAGTCCCCTGATGTTGAAGATAGCGATTCCGAGTCTGTTTCAGCAAAAGGAAGACCAAAACGCGAAGACGTTAGTGTCAAAAAAGCTACAAATCCAACTAAAAGACAAAACAGTTCACGATTCCTCAGTGAAAACGAACGAGAAATTTCACAATCCGCGAGAATCAAAAGGGGAAAGACACCATCATCTCTAGATGCTAAACGTAACCTAAATCCAGTTCACGATTTTGGGAAAATCACCAAGACGAAATGAGAAATTTCACCTAACAAAGCTTGATAATCCCTTTACCAAAAGCTAAGAGATGTTGGCTTTTTCTTTTTCTCAGATCTCACCGAATAAATATTGCAA